TCCTTCCTTCCTTCCTTCCTTCCTTCCTTCCTTCCTTCCTTCCTTCCTTCCTTCCCTTTTTCCACGCAGTTGGTATAAGGAGAAGGAATTGCTGGAATATTCCTATCCTGGCTACCTGTTTCTGAATGGCGACCACATGAGCATCATAGCTAATGCCATCAACGAAGGAACGTATACTTGCATCGTGAAGAAAAAGTCCAAAGTCTTGACCACGTATTCTTGGAGAGTCAGGCTGAAGCATTAATGTGGACTGTGGGCAAGGACTTACAGACCCCCAAGTCACTCTAGGTGGGCCCACGTCCTCACCTGTTGCCATATTGCACTTTCAACAGCCGATCCGCATTCACGAAAACCAGCTTTCCCAGGTTATTCCTTCCAGAAGGAGACTGCAAAAATATTGTTTTCCCCCTTCCCTGCATTTTTCATCATTTTTATTCTTGGCCAAGCCTGCTGGGGATGATAGGATGGGTAGTTGAAGTCACAAAGGGGTCCAAAGGGAGGAGAAATAGGCTACAACATGAGCTAAAAGATCAGCTTTTTTAAAAAAAGTTGCTAATATTCATTGGGAACCATTTTACACTTATACACTTACCTACGTTCTGCTAAAATCTGGAGTTTGGTGCTATCAATGAGATATTAAATTTGTCTTTTCCTCTCTCCTGGAGCTGTTCAAGATGGCATATATAATAACATCCCTCCTCCAATACCCGCCACCCCAAATAAACATCTTGTAGTATAGGGTTGGAGACTTGGGGTCTCTTCAAAACAGAGGTGCAACAAAAATTTTACAGCCAAGGCCTTCATCGTTCTACAATTTAGTAAAAGATCCCAGCATATAATGAAATTCCTGGGCTGAGTTATTTCCACCAAGCAGACCTTACCCAAAACAAGTTTGCAATTTCACGTACTACCTAAGATTAGAGATCATATACTCCTCCAAATCACAAGCTAGGTTTTCTGCCCTGTTTAGGGAGCGAGAAAGAAAAGATCCAAAGAAAAATTCCTTCGTTTAAACCTTTGCATCTGTTAGGAATATTTTTTTTTTTTTTAACTTGGGTCAACAGCCTTGGAAAGAATTTTGCCAACTCAGGTATATAGTTTCTGGAAAGGTACAGGACAGCTGATCCTTAAGGAATTTCACCAGAAATTTACCCTTTTGGTCCTTCTGCTCAAATAAAGCACTTCCATGCTGATATTGATTGTTGCTTGCGAACACTTTACGCTTTTGCCCTATTGCCCTGAGACATGATCGTATAATTAGAACGCACAGGGACATGTGTTTGAGGCTTATTTAGTTTCCCAGCAATGAAATTTAGCTGGCTGGGAAATTTCTATGCATCTTAAAAATTGCCAAGTTTGAGAAATAATACTGAGTTATGGGTTCATGACACCGCTGACTCAGTTCAATTTGTCAGACACAAAGAAAGGCTAGACATTCCTGAACAACAAACAAGCCACATTTGAAGCGTTAAAGACATTATTGGGCAAACAACGTTAATCGGCCCCATTAGAAAATGTCAGGCATTCCTCATGCAAATTAACAAGGCTCCACAGAGAGGCATAGAGACTGTGTTCACGGTCACTTTAATCCTTGGTTAGCTAAATCATGGTTTATCTGATTAATCCAATTTTCGGGCTCCACCCAAGGCAAGGAGCAGAAACAATGAAGACAGAAGGAAACACACATAAGATTTATTACTTTGAGGGGGAGGTTTTTGTCATGCAGATACAGACAACACTAGAGGTGGCTTGCAGCACACTGAAAACACATTATAGGTAGTCCTTGACTTACGAGCAATTTACCAGCTGTTCAAAGTTACAACACTGGAAAAAAAGACTTATAACCAATTTGCATTTACTACTATCACAGCATCTCCAAGGTGACATTTGCTGGATTTGCTTAATGATAACGTGATTCATTGAACAATGATTTGCTTAAGTGTGGCAAAAAAAGGCCCATAAAATCGACACGATTTTAAACAACCGCCTTACTTAGCAACAGAAATCCCAGCCCCAGTTGTGCTTGGAAGTCGAGGACTACCTATCGTTACTATTATACAGATACTTACTAGGTGTAAAAGCAACCTTAGTGTGCATTAGAGGAAACAGAGAAGGCTGCCAGCATATGTGCAGCAAAGAGCAGTTTTCTTACCTTTTTCAAGGTTTGCAAGGTGGCCGTTAAGATGAAAAAAAAATGTATATACTGCTGCCATTTGCAATGCAGGGGAAAATGCTTCCTTGCACTTTAAAAGAAAGTTCCATTTTTATAACATTTATCCAATCTGATAAAAGAAAGCTCTGTGTGTGCAACATTCTGTTCTTTTCCTGAAGCACAAAAGGAGG